AATGGCTGATGAGATTACTCCCTACGGAAGGAGACTCCTGCTTGGAATATCAACACATCTTTTCAGTCTCTCTCATTGTGACTGTTTGTGCTTTTATCAAATTTTCAGTTTGCTGCTGAAGCTACGGGACCAGATGGCTCCCACGCATAATGCACCGAATCATGGCAAGGCTTGAGGTATTTGTTATGTATAACAGCAAACACATGCCCTGGACCAGGTTAAACTCTTTCACAGTCAGCATATGGTGCACACTGCATATGGATGGTACTACAGCAGGTACCTATATATACATACAGTCGGAAGATTGGAGTATCTTTTCTTCTTGCTGTCTTGTCAGGAAAACGACTGTCATACCTTCAACACAAACAGTGAGGAATAGAGGCAGCGCAGTAACACATGGCACAGGCCAGATGCTAGGCACGTCCCATGATGCGCCGTGCCTGATGGCAAGGAATCCTGATGGGCCAGGGACAGGAGGCTCATGTTCCCCCTCTGATTTCCCTTTGCAGCTCATGATTAAGCTGGTGCTGACACCTTGCCCGGTGCCTATTTGCACGGCCAATAGCCCTGGGCAGTACTTCTGCCATGAGGCACCTACGGAAAAGGAGATAAATTCATTGTTTGAGAGCATCTCTGCCTCTGGCATTTTTAAAATAGAAAACAAACCTAATTTTCTCCTCATGTAGATCTGCGGTAAAATCAAGATGTGGCACCCATGTGAAACTAGAGGGAATGAGAAGGGAGTTTGCAAATGCAACAATCGCACTTGGCAGAGGGTAAGGCTGTTGGGTTGATACAGAATGTGATTTGTGCTTCAGTGACAAGACCATAAAAATCATCCTGTAGTCATCCCTCACCAATGTATTGTAAATACCCATTTCTGCGCACTGAAAGACACTGAAATAATGAAAGATGGGGTTTAGATACCTAGGAGATGACTGTTTCAGAGAAGTCTAGACTGCTTCGCTGGGACTTGGTGCACGTAACAAATCCCAAGGTGGTCAAGGGATGTCCCAAACAGGACAGCTTGATACTGTGGGTGTCGTGCAGGGAAGGAGCAGCCGGCCACTTTCTGATGGCCACGTTCCACCCCAAGTATTTTCTGGGATCGAGAAATTATCCTTGGGCTATTTTTTCAGCCTGCTTTTCTTGGTAGGCATTTGATATGCCCTCTGTGTCTGGAGTGACAGGGCACCCCACCAGCGGGTGCTGTGCTGGCCTTTGCAGAGAGGCGGGAGTGCTGGCAGGCAGAGGGACATCCGTCAGGGACTGGAGCAGGGACCAGGAATGTCAAAACTGCAGCCCGAGCGGAGCGGCGCTGATGAAGGTTAATGCGTGTTGCCACCACCTTTGAGGTCAGCATTGGGCTCACTTTAGCAGCCCTATAAATAGATGCCCAAGGTTGACTGAGAAGAGGATTTGGCTTTGATGGATCTCGTTTAGCATTCCCAAGAGAGGAAGGCAGATTCTTTTCCTTTCTCTCTTCCAGCCTCTAACCTTGAGTGGGTCTCTGTGGGAAACATTAGTGGCATTTGCCAAAAGAGCTGCTACTGTGAGCCAGATGTCCTGGTGTGTCGCATAAACCATACGTACATGTTCCTTCAACCTGCAAATCCAGACCTAATTCCACTAAAGACTCAAACTAATTCCTCACTGGCGAAACTAACAAAAAAACCACCCAAACAAACCTTGTGCCTAATTGCTTGAAAACAGTAGGACACCTAGTGGATTTATAGAGAATATCTTTGGGATTATGAGCAACATTTTGTCATTTTCTTGGCAAACCCAACCATGAACGTATTTATAGAGGAATCATTGAAATATCAGGGTTTCTATTTAATAAATTAATCTTGTTATAGCCATGACAGCCCCCAGTTTGCCTGAAAAAGTTATTGCACCCTATAAAAAATGCAATGAGTATTGTTTGAGTGAGTTGGAAAAAAAAAATAATTATGGGGAACTGGATGGTTCCCAAGGTCTGGGAGCAGAAGGAAGGGTATTCTGCCAGATCAAAGCCATCCCAGTTGTTCCATCTGATAGCTCTCTAATGATCTTAATGAGCAAAGTTTTATAGTCTCAGCCTGGCTTCCCGGATAATTGTACAGCTTCACAACAAGCATTGCCACGCTGAGCACAGCCAGCCAGCTCTGTTGGTTGTTGCAGCACTGAATGAATTGGCCACAGAAATAAAGCTGCCTTCTTAATTCCCCAGGGCCGAGCTTTTTGAATCCAAATTAGAAGATGATGGGATGTGTGATAATGCTTGCACTGCTGTCATTGACATTGCGTTTGTCTGGTAGCGACACCAACATCAAGCAGATTTTGACCCTAGATAGGAAATAAAACCCTGTGGCAGGGTGTAGTAAGAAGATTTTGAGCCATGTCTCAGAAATGATATCTTGGCCAGCAATTATCCTGGAGCTGCCAGTATTATCTTGCTAATATGTCTCTGGAGGCAGCAGACACAGACAAGGAGATGCATGTTGAGTCCAAAATGGATGCAGGAAACTGATGACTTCATTCTGACAGTCATCGCAAGAAACACCAAGTCATCCAGTCTGTTGCATTCAATTCCTGTTCCCCAAAAGTACTGAAAACTTCCCTTCCTTTCTGCTTACCGTAATATCGTCCTAGCGAAAAAGCATCTGCAGAAGAAAGTTAATTTTTCTAGCACTGCTCCCTTCCCACTCTTTTCCTCAGTGCCACAGGGATCCCTAGAGATCGGCAAAACCAGGATGAGGTTTAATTTTGGATAGCTCCCCGTTCAGATCCAGGTCCTTTCTTATTCCAACACTATGATTAAGAAAGAAAAGGCTGATGTAGAAAATAATTTTGATTGGGTTCATTTTCTTATGTGTTCTTTTCTTAGAGCTGTAGAACTAGAAGAAGAGTATAGCAGATGCTGGAATTCTAGTGAGTTATCAACAGAAAAATACCTGTCAATTCCATGCACTTTCATTATTCCCACCTCTGTCATGGAATTAACTGAAAAACAGAACTCCTTCTACATCATAGATGCTTTAAGTTGGTCCAGGGTTTTAAAAAGAGAGTGTTTTTTCATTTCAGGGGGTGGATTTTAGACTTGAAGGGTTTTTTTCTGACTGACATGTCAAGCTGGGGTAGTGAGTGCGAAGAGTATGTTTTTGTCTAATTTAGCAGCTGGATTGGAAAGCTTGAATTATCTCTGCGTAATTGCAATGATTCATGGATTGTTAGAAAATTGCAAAGTATTGATTGGATTTCCCCCTTAGGAAATAATTCTCCTCTGATAAAACAGAGTAAGTTCTGGGGCTTTGCTTTTGTCCTTCCTGCTTTTTTGCCCCGGGGAAGCCAGTGGCTCCTTTCATCTGGGAAATGGGAATTTGGGTCAACAGCCATTCAAGGACAATTTTGAATTATCATGATTTCCAATTCCAGATATTGTCTTGAGCTTTGCAGAGCGATGGGCTTTGCAAAGTGTGAACAGGGATTTCAGAGCCAGAAAAGCTGGGACCAGCAGCACATAGTGGCCATCCCTGTTTCACATTCTTCTGTTTCCATGTCAAATACCACTGGTGTGTTCTGGAAAGAGACCTTGACCTCGTTGTGGGAACACTACGACCGTCAGAGATGGTGGCAAATTTTCCCCTTAATTAGGCCAGGATTTCTCTCAGGGTCTCAGGGGTCAGTGGCAGGAAGGAAATGGGAGAATGAAGTGAGAATCAGGCACGGGGAGAGGCTGATGGTGCCCGGGGCTGAGCAGCTTGGAGCCGATAGCCCTGACACACATCTGCACGTTAATGGTGCTGCCGAGACAAAAGCTGGGGCCTTTTGGGCAGCTGCTGTATGAATTTCCAGAACAGACCCATAAATACACAGTTATGAGTGTGACCTCTGCTTCTTTTCTTCGCTAGGTTGAACATCCCAGGGCCAGCTGAGTATCATTCCTTGTCTCTGCTCCAGTTGCTTGGAACGTGCTGCCTCCCCAAATGCCCAAATACAAACCCAAGAATTACGAGAGAGTGCTAATTCGGGGTTTGCAATGAATTTAGTGTTCCCGCAAGGGTGACACTAATGGCAATTAACGCAGCAGAAATGCCAGTGCTGAGTGACTATTCTCACATTAAGAGCTGTCAGTCGGAGAGCTCGCAGTCCTGTTATTTCAGGCCTGACCTCTGCTGTTTGGCCGTGTTTCCTATGCAGGGGAGGTGTCCCAGGCCATCCTGTAACTACAGCAGCACGCTCCGGGAGGGGACACAAGGAGCAGGGCAGCCAAAACCAGTTTGTGTTGACAGCAGCGTTTCCTGAGGGTTTGTATATTCTCATCTGGGACTTGCCTGACCAGGAATAAAATGAACCCAGGACTGAACAGAATATAAGACTTCAGCTTCTGGAGCTCTTTGCTAGTCCAGTGCTATGCTCGTGCCCGGCTGTCAGTTGACTCCTGATTAGATGCAAAGTTCTTTCTGCTGTTTCAGTTTTGCCTCTCTGCACCGTGAAGAACCTGATTATAAACCATTAAATGCATTTAAACAGGCTTGGCTAGAAATAACCCCTGCTGCTGCTCGTATTCGGGGCAATCTGCACAAATTTTCATGTTGCAATGCACGTGTCATGGCTTGGCTAGAAATAACCCCTGCTGCTGCTCATATTCGTGGCAATCTGCACAAATTTTCATGTTGTGTCGTAGTTTCAGCCGAATTTACCCAAACCAGAATGACAGATGGCCCTTCCTCCCCCCAAAAGAGAGGAAGAGATAAGGAGATTTAGAATGAACTAAACTACTTTAATGAAATATTAATATTAAAATGAAAAAGAAGAAAATAATGAAATAGATACAATATATACAAAACCACATCAAGCTCCCAGGATGACGTCACTGGCAGGCACTGGGGAAGTCCCAGACTGGACTCGGTGATGGATGGGAACTGGGTTCCAGCTCTGGAGTCGGGAACACACGGATCGGGATCAAAGGCAGATCAGGGTCCTCTTCGGACACCAGCCATTGAAGGAAGAGGCAGATGAACAGACAGGGTCCTCTTTGGACACCAGCTATTGAAGGAAGAGGAATTGACCCTTTGATCCCTCAGCTTTTATACAGAGCTTAGGGCAGATGGGATGGAATAACCCTGTTGGTCAGGTTTGGGTCACCTCTCCTGTCCCCTCCTCCCGACAGGTGGAACTCCTTTATGCTTTTTCTGCTTCCACCCCTCCAACAGGGCAGATAAGGAAATTGGCTGACCTTAGTTGTTATAGCAATAAGTACAAGCAAGAGCCTCTCTGCACACCCTTCCTTGGCATGAAGTACAAACATTGGTCTTATCCCTCTGAGAACGAGCAGTTTTCTCCACAATATGCTGTTAATGTCAGAGAGTTAGAAGAGCCCAAGCTAAGATGTGAAATTGCTGAAATTTCATTCTTTTTTACTTCAAACCAGGACAGCATGATCGGTAAGAATGCCTCTGCTTCGGAATGTCTTAAGTTCAACAAGCAATAGCAGTGGAGCAATGTAAGGACTGTGATTTTTAGCTCAACCAGAAAAGACACTGTCCTCACTTGGTTCCCTGAAGTCTTACGTAGGGTGAGCCAGTTCCAGATGAGGAACCTCTGCAGTTTGGTGCAAGAGGAAGTAACGCTTACGCACATGACAAATGTAAGTGAGGGGTGTTTCCAGGCTCACAAACAAAATCCAAAACACAAAAAGGAGAACAGCTTTTATAGAAGGATGATTAAAAATACTTCATGTGTGTTATTTTTATTTTTTTTTTTAGAACTAATAGCATTTCTGGAGGATGAAACCAGGCCGGAGAAACGTCAAGTGAAAATTCATAGCTTGTTAACAGCAAAGATCAATGGAGAATGGCAAACAGGATGGAAGAAGGAAACCTTAACTACAGAGTTATAAATATACCCCAGCCTCTACACATAAATGTATCCATTATCAATTTTAAGGCACTACTCGATGCAGCAGGATAACTTCTGAGCAGGGTGGCAGGAACAGGATGAGCATTTTCAGTCTGAAGATTTTGGGTGTTCTGGGTTCATCTGGAGATAAAAAGGCTGAATCCAAAGACAACATAGACTCCTACAGACCTCGCCGCTACGCTGCCGGAGTGCTCTCTGCTCCTGCAGGGTCTGGCCTTGGAATGCCCTTACGGGACAGGCACATGCAATTAGGATGCTCCAGCCTCACTCCTCATGTGCTCCTGGAGAACGTGGTCACACATCCCGGTCACACATCCCATGTCTCTGTGGTTAGTGCTTTGTTTTCTCTGCTCAGCAGCTCTGAGGCAGCACGAACTATTTATTTTTAAAGGCAGGGGATCACGTTATGGCTCATTATCGTTCCAGCAGATGGTAACTGATGCGCAGCGCTGCCGCCGGGGCCTGGGGGCTCCTCGCTGTGCACAGCAATGATAACACGGCCGCTGGCTGCAGAGATGGCGACGTACTGCTGCTGCTAAGGGCAAGCTGGTGGAAAAAGGGCAGTTTTAAGGGCTTTGGCTTAATCATCTGGACACAAGCACTATTTTTATCCTTTTCTGTTTAGATCTCAGGCTGATGCCAAGGGAAGCTGAAGGCAAAGCTGGTGTCTCCCATGGCACATGAAACCACAGAATTGTCAGAGTTGGAAGAGACCTTCTAGAGATCATCCAGTCCAACTCCCCAGCCAAAGCAGGGTTGCCCAGAGCACATCACTCAGGACAGCATCCAAGTGGGGCTTGAAGATCTCCAGAGAAGGGGACTCCACACCCTCCCTGGGCAGCCTGTTCCAGGGCTCTGTCACCCTCACCAGAAAGCTGTTTTTCCTCAGATTTGAGTGGAACTTCCCATGTTCCAGCTTGTGCCCGTTGCCCCTTGTCCTCTCACTGGGAACCACTGAAAAGAGTTCAGCTCCATCCTCCTTCAACCCACCCTTTAGATACTTATAGGCGTTAATAAGGTCTCCCCTCAGCCTTCTCTTCTCCAGGCTCAAGAGCCCCAGCTCTCTCAGCCTTTCCTCATCAGGGAGATGCTCCAATCCCTTAATTATCTTTGTTGCCAGACAAGTGACTGGCTTTTGGGAAGGGAGAAGGGGGGTGGGCAGTGGCACAGCAGCAGGGAAGGGGGTCACACTCATGGCCTCTTTGCACCTGTGGTGGAAGCCATTGCCTGCCTCTGTAGGTGGGAGGAGATCAAAAAAAGATAATTCCAGCTCAAGGTGTGCCTAGTGGAGATGGAAATATTAAAGTCCCTGTATACACCACAGAGATCTCACCTGGAATGATGTGTGTGGTTCTTCTCCCACCTACACACGTTGGTCTTCCATCCTGGGGCTGCCCACACCTGCACCATAGCTGAGGACAGGGCTGGTGGGTGCCGGCCAAAAGAGGAGAGGAGTGGCTGGTACAGCTCTGTGTGTGCAGGAGCCGGCGGGGGAAGCGAGCAGCGTGTCCGGCCGTAATTTGGACAAAAGAGGAAGGAAAAAAGAAAAAGGGAGAGGAAGAAGAAAATAAGTATTAGGTTCCACCGAGATTTGAACTCGGATCGCTGGATTCAGAGTCCAGAGTGCTAACCATTACACCATGGAACCGCTCTGCCACGGCTCCTCCCGCCCGACACTAGTCCCTACCTCACCGCCCCTCGCGCTCCCGCCGCAGCTCGTCCCCGCGGCCGCGGCCACCGGGTGGGCGACCGGGGGTGTCCGTGCGCGCTCCACGGGCCGGGAGGGACCGTCCGCCCCGCCGGCACCGTCCCTTTAAGGCCGGGGTGGGCGGGAGAGGGCGGCTCTACCCCGGAAGCAGTTTTGCGCCGCCGCGGCGCTGCCCCGGCAGCACCTGTGGGTGGGCGGGCAGAGAGCGCAGGGCGGAAGCGCCGCGGCGGCTGCAGGGAGGGGTCCGGCTGCCGCTCCCGCTCCCAGTCCTCGGCCTCCCGCCGCGCCTCACCCCCCCCCTCCCCGCCATGGGCACCCGCGACGACGAGTACGACTATCTCTTCAAAGGTAACGGCCGCGCCGGCTCGTCCCCGTGACTAAACGGAGGGGTCACCTTCCGGAGGGGGGGTCCCGGCCATGGTGGGGTGGGGAGCGGCCTCCGCCCCTCCGTGAAG